ATGTTGTGGTTATAAGACATGCAGGCTCAGAACAAACAGACCTCCATCTGCTTTGAGCATTCTGCTCGTCGTTTGCAGAGGTGTACTCGACAGCAGCTATAAACTGCCTGAGCAAATGGCCTACATTCAGTTTTTATTCAGAGCAAACCGGTGATTTTACAGCAAAGCAAAGGTCAAAAAACATTCAATTTCTAACTGCGTCTCTTCTGTACAACACCATCTCCTCACACTTTGAAAAACCGATCCTAGAAAACGTGTTTTTTTTTTCTTGTGGCTGAGAAATGATTATTCATTTGAAATATTCATCTTGTTTTTGCAGAAGCGCTTCATGACTGTTGTTCGGGACTTTATTCTACATCTTAGAGATATTTCAGAGATCAAACTGCTGCTGTCCTCGACTGACTTAGAGAAGGTCGCTCATGCAATTAGACGCTCATGCCTCGCTCCGCAGTCTTCTCAGAAAAAAACAGCGAGTCTCTACTCTGGTGCAAAATGTAGAAAAGATTGATTTCAGTTTTGAGATCTCTGCACCAGCTCAGTTTCTGAATCAATTTCAGATTTGATTTAGTTTTTTGATTGCACATTTACAAAGTGCTGCAGGACCACAGACACAAAAATCCATATTATGTCTTCACTAGAACATGTTTTTTTTAATAGATACCTTCACTTCAATGTACACAAAGAAATCTATAACTTACATGTTGTGAGCTTCATGTTGAGTGCATATTGTTGAATCAAATTAAGATATGTGTTTTTATTTAAAGTGCTCATTGAAGCAAAAATTAGCACCAAGTAATATGACAATTTTACTACTCACAATGAGCAACGACAAACTCACAGTATAAACTCTGTCATCGGTGACGAGCTTTGAGTGTGAGCTAGAGCACGCATGTGGTAGAGAACGAGCAGGGAGACAGGGAGGCGCCTGATTGGTTCATCAGATTGGTACCTCGATGCAGACATTGGTCAAAGTTTTTTGACCGACAGATGACGGATTTTCTTCGTTCCTTTTTCAGAGTACATGAGTTTTTAATTTCTGTCAGGACCTAAAGACAATTTCAACCTAAATCTTCAAAAGTGGATCTGGAGAAAATTACCAACCCTGCCTTTAAGTTTTCTTGGAACGTGATTAATGTTGTTAATCATGTTCATCTATTTGCTTAAAATATGAACAATATTAATATTCTACTTTCTGTGCATAATAAATGATTGGGTGCGTTCAGGCTAATTACCACTGCCTTGTCCTGTAATTATGAGATAATTATCTCAAAAATCTTATCGTTCTTGTTATAATGAGATAATGCTAATTGTATGTTATGGATGTCATAATTATTTCCCTCTTCTCTGGTGAATTCTTTGAGTTATTTTTTAAACAAACAGTAAACCATAAAGCATGACTTAAAGTCAGAGCTGCACTGCACCACGTTCAGCATCTCTTAAAGAGCTGCGATCTTGCAGTGGATCATCCGTCAACAACATTAAGAATCGGTCTGCGCTCATGTGCATGTGTTAATAGAATTAACTGTGTGAAACTGAGCTTCAGTAATTCAGAGCTCTGCATGAGGCAGAGGGAGTCTGTGTGGGATACGTGACGGGACTTGTTAAAAATAATTGCAGCATGAAAAGTCTGAGGCGTGTTGTTATTCACTCTCTTTAAAGGCAGAAGAAAATGTTAAAATGAACTCAGACTAATGGATTCAGTCCAAAAAATCCCCTCAGAAGAACTCACGCTGTAAGGAACACCACCTGTCACAGGTGCATCAATAATGAGCAGATCAATCCTTTTCATTCTTTGTGCAGTGAAACTATTTAAAGAGGACATATTATTCCCCTCCTCCACCTTTTCAAACAGTCCCCTGTGGTCTAAATGAAACATATGTGCTGTGCTTTGGTCAAAATATAACATGAATTAAGCACCAGACGAGGTTTGTGACCCTGTATAAACCAGCTCTCTCAGAACGCTCCGTTTTGGTGTGTGTGTCTCTTTAAATGAAATGAGGCCTCCTGAGTTTTCCAGGTAGACATCACTCCTCTGTAGCGAGAATAAAAATGGCAGACCTGCGCAAAAGTTTTGCTCTAGGCTGGGGGTGTCCATAGGTGGCGATATCAGCAGATTTTTTTGTACCAGAATCCCACTGTGACATCACAAGGAGAGCAAATGTGAAACGGAGCATTTTTCTCTGTGTTTTAAGACTTACACAGACCACAAACAAAGGACTGGATGGGTATATTTCACATTTATGTGGGTCGGTAGACACTCAGGTTACCCAAATAAATGTTCAAAAACACTGTGAAAGTGGATTTTTCATAATATGTCCCCTTTGAAACTTAAACAGGAACCTGGTGAGAGACTAAATGAGAGCGTCAGAGCTGTGATCTGGATAAAAAAACAAACTGTAAAGGCTCCTCTTCTGTTTTTGTTTCAGGGGGATTTGTGGACTTCTGATTTGGGTCACGGCCCTGTGTCTTTCAGATGAGATGTTGGGAAAGTGGTCGTTGCACAAAAAAATAAAGAGCGTTTTCTTCATATTATGTAATTTTGAATTTAAAAATGCCCCCCCCCCGTACAGTGTATGCTATTCATGACAATAACTAATCAGACCTATTCCATTTTTTTGTACCAGGCTGTAAACATGTTTATTTATGCAGTAAAAACGGCTTTTTTGACTGTTGTGTGTATGTGTCTTCTGGTGTTTCTGGAGCCAGCCTCAAGTGGACATTCGACGAACTGCAGGATTTTGCACGCACGCATTGGCTTCATTTTTCAAGACCGGAGGTTGCAGGTCGCTCTGATATTCACTTTTGTTGTTTTTAATTATCACAAACTGCAGACTCCCTCCTGCACACCACCTTTCCCTTTTCTCTCGCTGCAGCTTGTGGTTAAAAAAATCTGACAAATCATCATTAAAAAAAAGATTGTGTCGTTTAAAATCTCCTGCTATCAAAAAGTATTGTTTTTCATTTAAAGATGTATTTCTTCCACTTTACAAATAGTCTGTTAAAATCTACAGTTAGAGCTGCATCACCAGCACCAGTTAACTCTGTAGCCTTCATAAAATGAGCTACAGAAGCTTTCATCAGTCACATTGAGACACTGTGAGACAAGGTGAACACATCCGCATGAATCAGCACCGCACCTGGTTGAGTTTTTCTGCCTTGTCATGTCAGTCTCCTGACTTTTTTTGTTCTGTTCACCCTTCTTAAAACATCACCGCCAAGTTTTGCGTTTCCTTCATGTGAGAAAAACCCCAAAACAATGTGCCATCTTCAGTTTTGTGGATTTCTCTGTCATAGTGTACAGCTTTTTTATGCCCTTGAACCACTTTTTTTAACCGCTGTTATCTACTCTCCTCTCTGATCTCTCTTTTTTTTCCTAAAGTAAAAAGGCCGATGTCACATTCACAGTGGATTGACACAATTACAGGAAGTCCTCAGACTCTGAGGCTCGTCCCTAGCAACCATCTGCTTGTCTTAGTAACAGTGCGTTCTTCTTAACGCCGGTCAACTATTGACTGATAGCAGACCGTTGCTATGCGTAATTGGCCGATCATAATCAAGTATTAAACACAGACATGAAATAAGGTGAGGTTTTTGAGTTGCATGATGCCACATCCAGTGTGTTTCCCTTACATACTGTGTGTGGTGTCCAATCTTTGCAGGTTTCATTAATGTCTTTTAAAAGCTTTCTGTTCTGAGATGAACAACAGGAACTACTCTCTAGTAGAAGTTTTTTCAGCCTTACTTTGGCAAAAACATTACCGTTGGCAAAGAACTGGAGCAAACTGTAATAGAGGTGTGAAGAGTTCTATAAATGTTTTGGTGTTTTTCTCCAAACTCTGAAAATCCAATCTGAAGACTGATGCAATCTCCTCTGAATTGGCAAAGCTCAAACTTTCTCTACTACGGGAAGGGGGGGGGGGGTTATGTGAGTTGTTCCTTTGCATGTCTAACATTTGTCTGTTCTGTAAGTTTGTATGTGTTTGCAGATCTAGATACAGGTGAAATGTGACTACTGTCTTTGTCTGCACTCTCTTCTGCAGGAGCTGCAATAAAAGAGGAGAGAAGCAGCTGTATGCAGGTGCACAAAGACGCACAGATGCTGTAAATAACACGAGCATATGCCCTCTTAGCAATGTGTAATGTGCACGCACACTGAGTAAGATGATGAATCTGTAGCCTGCAGCAGATGTGTGTTACACCGATGTAGGTGAAGATACTCTATCTGCAGACAAAAGGAATGGGTGGAAAAAAACCATCTTAAGATAAGCAAGATTTCATCACCATATCCACCGCCTCCTCATCATCCTGTGGGTCACTCTCTGGTATCTCCCTCATGGACAATGGCAATGAATAAACCATAGGATATCCATACACACTGTTTCAGCCATGCTGCATCCTACTGTGACAAGATGCTACAAACAAGAGGAGGCAAGTGTGGCACAGCTGAACGTATAAAAGATGCAGGTCTCCTCTCACACAGTGCATTATATCAGCCCAGCTATCACACGATATTAACACTGATGAATACATTACAGTGCATACAGTTCCTCCCACAGAGGTATCGCTGTTTCTGGAGATCAGTGCAGATAAATAATGCATGCGGCTCAGACGCGGCACGACTGCTGAGCGGACACAGACACTATACAGCGCTTTTCCAGCAGCACTCGCACAGCATGCAACACTTATGAAAGCTTCCATTAATATTACACCAACACTTGCACCCTCTTTGCGTTGAGAGTTGAACTGGAGAATGATACTGAAGGCAGCACATTCTGGACTCTCTCTCTCTTTGTGTTTGTTTTTTGTTGACATTCATCCCTCTGGAAGCAACAAAAACCCTCTGAATGACGCTCCGGTGTTTACGCTGCATGCCTGCACACTCCACTCTCCCGAACTTAATTGCTTTCACTCCGTGTCTCTGAATCTGGACGCTATTACAACATGCAATAACGCTTCATAAAATCTCTGACAGAGACAAAGAAGAAGAGGACTTGTCTCACCTGTTTGTCTGTGAGTGATATCTTCTCTCCCGGCTGTGTGTGTGAAACGTAGATCTCAAACTTCTGTCTCTGAATAAACCTCTCCTCCCTCTTTACTCTCTGTTCCCTTTACTCCCCCTCCTCCCCTCCCTCTTTACTCTCTCTATCTCCTCCTTCTTGTTCTCCTCACCCTCTCTCTCTCTCTCTCTCTCTCTCTCTCTCTCAATCTGCTCCCTTCCCACCCTGCTCACTCTCCCTCCTTGCTCTTTTTTTCCTGTCACTTGCTGTTTTTTTCTCCATTTGCTGCTTTCACCCTCCTCAGTGTCTTTCTTCAACCTGCTGCTGTCTTTGAAGCTTCGATAGATAACCTCCCCCCTCGACCCCACATCAGCATCACCACCTACACAAATAGAGATATGTATACCAAGGAGGGATGTGATAATAAAGAGGTTCTAGAGGTGCAATGCGCACCACTGCAGTTGATCTGCTGGTGATCTGCTGATTAGACTCAGATATGATGCTCTGTGAAATCATGTCCTACCCTCTGTGTGTGTGTGTGTGTGTGTGTGTGTGTGTGTGTGTGTGTGTGTGTGTGTGTGTGTGTGTGTGTGTGTGTGTGTGTGTGAGAGTGAGTGAGTGAGTGAGTGAGTGAGTGAGTGAGTGTGCTCATAAGAGTAACAAAATGAGCACACACGGTTCCACTGCAGTATATAGAGGTCCCCTATTTAGATATCCCTCAAGCCTACAAGACCCCTCTTGGAAACTTATTTTTAAAGGTATAGTATGTAGAATTATATGAAAATGTTTGCATTCAAATATCTAAATTAATAAAAAATAATTATATTTATTTTGTTGTTGGCTTCTTACTTTCAAGAATAAATATTTTCAACAGTTATCAAAATCAGAGAAATCAATCATTTTAAAGTTGTAATGGGACGTGTCTTGTCGCGGCAGCCGGCATGATGAGCCGTCACGACAGGCATGAAATGTTTATCGTTGCCGTGGAAACACCGGATGTTACGCTGCATAAGGAAGCGGGAATTGCTGCTGAGAGCTGCTGTGCTGTTGCTGTATCTGCTGCTTTGATAACAAGGTCATGTAAATTATACTTGGATACATCGTAGGTAAACATATTCTCTTTCTCAGGTCGGTTTCGCCCGTTGGTATTGACTACGGTCAAGACGGAGTTGGATTTCACCTTTGGGGAAGGAGGGGGTAGCAGGGAGAACTCCCATGATTCCCCGCTATAGCCTCAAAGTCATCTTTTGTTATTGTTTTGATTGAGAGTCCCCTGGTGGTGGATTTTACATACTGTGCGTTTAAAAAAACACACACAACTGAAGTAATTTAATGGTTAAAAGTCTCCCCAGTTGCTGAGTATAGCTTCAAGGCTAATTCATGCTCTACGTCCACTTTGCATATACTGATACTCAAAGCTCTGCGTTACATATTTCTGCACGTTTTCTGGAAGCTTATGGACACGGTCTAATGGTTGCAATACCACTGGAAATCTTGGGGGCAGTGTTGAGCCAGACAAGCAAAAAACAATGTAGAAGAATAATTCGCCCGGCACCGGGACAACTACTTGAGCACAGCTGGCCGAGAGCAGACGGGAACTGAATGTCAGTTAGACGGCAGCCAAGAAGAAGTAAAAGTTGGTGCAAACCGTGCCCTCTAGTGAATGCATTTTTTAACATCCATCCGAATGCAAAGGATGCATGGGAAAATATGGTTAGCTATAATAAATGAGCCTTTAATGTCCACTGTTGGTGCTATAGGAATGTCTGTGTGTGTGTGTGTGTGTGTGTGTGTGTGTGTGTGTGTGTGTGTGTTCATGGATAAATATGATTGAAGGTCCAGCCTTTAAAGTCAAATCTTGATTTATTTTTTAAGTGACCAAAATCAGAGGTCCCCACTTGGTGAGTTTAGCCTGACAGTCCCCTGTTTGTACTATAGGTATACATTTGTGTGTGTGTGTGTGAGTATGTGTTCACAGATGTGAAGAGATGGCAGACAAAAGAAGACAATTGTTATCCAACATTTTTTTTTAAATTACAGAAACAGACGTCTCCAATTGGCCAGTGTCTGTATGCCATTCCAGCACATCCACCCGCCTGCTTCTGTTCATCAAGTCAGAGTGGAACAAGCCTGGGATTCAATAAATGTTGTATTCTGTCACAAATCTTTTATTTACCTGCCACTGTGGCCGAAAGGTTGAGCAAATTTACCACCGCAAGAAACACCTGTATTTGACGGATGAAGGGTGCTGATGTCCTGCCCTCACTGGTATGTTTGTGTGTTTGTGTGTGTTTTATGTTCACAGATAAAGAGGAGGGGAGGAGAAGTGTGCCATAATAACCGTTGGTGTTCCGCTACGTGGCGACAGCGCTGCCAACTTCCTCCCTCCTGCTTGTTGTTGGAAGTCATTATCTCACCTCTGGTAGGGAGGGAGGTGAAGCGGGGGAGTTACAAAGGGAGGGAAGAGGGAGAGAGAGAATACATGTAATGCTCTCAAATTGAAATTCATCCTACCACGTCTCCCTTTATAATCTCATTCAAAATCCACAGTCTGTTGCTCGCTCATATTTAAATGAGCACTTGACTAAATCCCTCCTGTGCCTTTGCTTTTCTTGGCAGCGTTGGCAGGCTGCCGCGCTCTGCTGCCTCTGAGCATCCTGGATGCTTCTCGGCAAACCGCTCTCTCTGTGTTTTTGGCCACGTGCAGAAATAGAATTAAAAGAGTGGGAAGCAGGGCGGCGCAATGAGGCTGAACAGGTCTGATGGCAGGCTGGCATCGTGCATCTGCTTTGACCAGGGAGGGGGAAGGTAATAGAGGGTGAAGCCCAGGACAGGTCTCTTCAGGTCTACTCACATCAGGTGTTGTTGTGAAAGTTTGCTGTTTAGTTAACCCACAAATACACAAGAAATAAGATGTTCAGAAAAATCTTCCATGTATGACAATCGTTTTTGTTTTTTCTCTTCAAATCAGACATTGTTGACAAGGTATTATTTAAGAGGCTGACATATTCCTTTAAAGATGTATTTTTGGGCTTCTGTGCCTTTATTGGAGAGTCAGGACAGTGAGTTGGAAATCAGGGCGAGAAAGAGTAGGACATGACATGCGGCAAAGAAACCACAGTTTGGATTTGAACCTGGGCCGCCCGCTTAGAGGAGCACTAACCATCAGCACCCCAGGCTGACACATTTCTATCAGAGAACTGGTGACATCTTGGATAGTTTATTAAGAACTGAGTGTTTGAGTAAAACTTATGAAGCGTTTTCACCGGTTCTGACAACAGCGTGTTTGTCTTTGAGAGAAGGCGACCTCTCTGAATTATTCTGCTCTTGTTAAAAAACAGATAAATGATGAACAACTAATTTATAAAGTTTAAAACCTCTAAAACACATCATAACTGACGTGACATGTTTCGAGAAGACACCAAACACACCAGATTAAAATATTCTGGTATACAGTTATATCTAGAGATTTACCTGTCAGTGATACGTTTGGAAAGGGATTGAATGTAACAAATGTCAATTTCTTTTAATTTTACATGTTTAGGCAGTATCCATTTATATATCACATGTTTGAGATCAGAAATCTTCATTAAAAATGTATCAATCACATAATTAGTAAGCAGAATTTGACATCGTTGTGCAACGCTGTCACTTTTGTTTACATGAGATCAGCGGCAGACAAAAACAAACTAGAGCTCCCACTATGTTGACGGGCAGAGGCGCCTTTGTGAAACAACTTTGTGAAATTAAATTGTCAAATTGTCATTGGGACTAAGTTTTAAAAAAGGTTGAAGACGTCGGCTCTAAAAGCTCATAGTTCATGTTATTTTTTAAATCTCCACATTTCTCCTTTGCAAAATAAATTTGAAAATAGGGCAGGGGCTTAATCTTCTGTTCCCTTTGTGGAGGTCTATTTCTGGGCCCTTTATTCTACCATCTGCCACCTCCAGCAGGTGTTCTGATCCTGCACCATGAGACCAGCAAGCAGGACAGACTCAGCTAACGGCCCGCCCCAGCTATCACTTAATGACGGGAGAAGACTGCAAATTAGTCCCGATGTCTCCCGCCATTTTCTCCCCATCTCCACCCTCACTGTCAGTCTTTTACTCGCTCTCTCTCTGCCTATCCTCGGCCATCAATCCCTCAGTCCACTTGGGATTAGCCAATTAACCTATAGCCGGTGTAGAAGTGCCAAGCAGAGAGATGAACAGCGCCAATGTCTCTCTCTTTCTACGTGTTTGGAAAGAAGGAGCCCATGTTTCTGTTGCTCTTGGTGAAGGAATGTCAGAGTTGTCTTTGCTGGCATTAATTAGTGAGAAAAGCATCTGCTGCAAATGCAACTGCTAGTCCAAAAGCCTTTGAAATGTCATCTCCCAGAATACCAATTTAAGAGAAGCGGATGCTCAGATAACAAAAGGAGGCAGATATGGGAATATTTCCTCATAAACGCAAACAGCAGAGTTGTTTTTTATTTTATTTTCCCCAGTGTTAAAATTAAGACTCATCTTCAGCTAGAAGGTGACGCCGTGTGTAGGCAGCTCCAGGCAACCTTGTTAATAACAGCGCGGAGTCTCATCCGCGGAAATAGATACGACGATAAGCCTGCTGCATGACATCTTCATCCTCGCTGACATTATGCTTTTATACTGCTGCATGCCACCCAGAGACACAGATGGAGGGAGAGATGGATGGATGCAAGGATGAGAAATAGATATGAGGGGAGGTTTGCGGGGAAGTGATCAGAGAATCAGAGAAAGATGAATGACAAACAGACACCTTGTGAAAGAATTTGTAAAGGAAAGCTAACACTGTATTGCATTCATCATTTTTTAAAAACCTCTTCACTCTCTCATATAGAGCTGGTATATAATCAAACCTTGATCTTTGCCTGAGTTTTAATTAACCACAGTGAGTTCTGTTTTGTAAACCCTGGGAGCTCTCATAAAGTCAGTTTATTAAAGTCACAGTCGTTTTGAATTCTCCTCACTCAATACCTGAGCAGAACTTCATGATGATGATGCAGCCACTTACTCTAGTTTATACAGCAAACTAGCCTAATGCTAAGCTAGGTTAAAGGATTGAGGTCGGGTTTGATTTCTTTTTGTTTGTGTATT